TCCGTTTCACTGTCTACCGTCCACAAAACGGATTTTGTAATTTGGAGGTTGTGAATTTGGTTGCTCCTCAATTCTCATTCGCTGGCAAAACCCGGTCAGAAGCAAGGGGCCACCCTAACTAAATGACTCCAAAAGATTGTCAATTGGCGGCATTCAAATGCTCTTTTTACGTGTTTTCTCCTCCCCCCTCCTTGTAACGTTTGAATCTTCACATGAAATACTTGTGTTTTGGATGAATGTTCCGTCGTCCTCCTTACTCAATACCCTTTATAGTTGTTTCTCCTCCTTTCATTATGCACTGTGCTTATTGTGTTATAAGCAGCGGTATTTGTGCAGGTACCTCAATTGATTTGAAGTTTAATCAGTTAATCGTGTTTCTCTTAAGTATCCTTCTTGCACATTCTTTTATACATATTTAGCCTGTGTCTACCCCGACCCCGGACAACACAGAAATCTGCTTGTGTGTTCATTTTATCGATTGTGGCTCAATTTGCGAAATAAATAAATCAAAACAATGTTTTCTGTTTTAGCAGCAGAGTTATCCTAATTTGCACTGCACAGAGATAGCTGCCTTTTGCTTTATCTGTGTACTTCATAAAGGCCACTGGTAAAGCAGTTGATCAGTTCGGGTACCTTGAAAATAAACTTCTTTCTTACCCTCAACGCGGCTTTATGTTTTGATTAAAACTACCTATCCACGGATACTCTATCTAATCTATGGAATAGATCTGGCGCGCGCCCTTCGATTGACTGCGCTACACTTGCACGCCCTCCAGTATTGGAATTTCCACATTTTCACTCAATATCATGCGTTTTCGTTACTCACGACATCGTATTATTTGTTTCAAACGTGCCGGGGCATTTTTTAATAGTTAATCGGTTTGTGCGACGTTAGTCTCTCACCGTCCAGGGTGAACCAACAACGCAAGCGTGCATGGTGATAAGTTGCCCTCAAATGCACCCCTTTGGCCAGGATGACTGTTCCTTCGTTGGCCAGCCCTAATACTCGGTCTCTTTTTCCAAAGTTGCCGGATTTAACTAGTGTCCTCCAATCAAGGATTCATATAAATGTGTGAAGGCTGTGTACAAGAATCCTGGTTGAATAAGGATATAGCTGTCTCTATATTTTCGATAGACTGTTTTTAAGTTTACCGACAAGATTGTGGAACCAGAGGAGAAAAGACTGGAGGGGGTGTTGTGATATATGTTAACGTATCCTGGTGTGGTAGGTCCCATGTCAGGTTTCAGTGCTGCTTAATCGTGCAGTGCCATCCACGATTTTCCCATTTTACTCGCTCAGTATTGGCTAACTTGTATATAGTACCTTACTGTACACACTCCTGCCGTATGTCATACCTTTTATTATCCCACTTTTAGATCTTAACCTACACCTAATCGTTAGAGACTTTAATCATACTAGTACTTGTCCTCTTTTATCGCTATGTATGACGGATCGTTGTCACTCTCTCACAAGAGGTAATTCTATACTGGACAGGGTAATCACCAACCACCCAACCCGTTTCTCCTTAGCATTCCTTAGCCAGTCATCGGACATTCTTCCTGCCTACTCGTCACATAATGTTTGTAATGTGGAACTATTCTCATATTGTGATGTGTTAAATTTTTAAATAGTTGCAGTTGGTCTTCCGCTGCAGGCCCGGATGATTCACCTCCAGCTCTCTTCAAAATGGGTGCTGCTTCCCTAGCTGGGGCAATCACCTCCATTGTTAATGAATCGCCTAACGCTTCCACTATCCCCGATTGTTGGAGGCCGGTCACAATCAAACCAATCCCCAAAACATCCAAATATTCTATCCTCTCTAAACGTTCTCGCCTCATAGCGTTAACATCTTCAGTTCTTAAGTTAACTGAAAAGGCTATCCCCAAACGTCTTCAGCAGTCTAGAGACATTCCCAGTGATCCTTTACAGTTTGCGTGTAAGCCTTATAGATCCACCTTGGATGCAGTCGCCACTCTTATTCATTTTATCAAGAAGTCTTTGAGCAACTTTGTGAATTCCGTTCGGTGTTTTTCTGGATTTCTCTTCAGCATTTGATTCCGATGCGCGATCTAAGTTGTTACAAAAACTGGAATCGTTTGAATCGCTCAAGCATTTGTTGGCTTGGCTATCCAACCTTTTCACTGATAGAATACAAACCACTAGATTGGGGAAGGCCTCATCTAAACTCTTGGTCAACAACTCCGGGGTTCTTCAAGGAGCTGTGCTATCCCCATACTTATTTTCCACTTATATTTGTGATATCCCTTGTGTTACTCCTGCATGTACTTTGAACTACGCGGATTACGTTGTGCTGTGCCCACCCATTTCTTCTTACTCCGATTTAAGCTCCTTCACCGAAAATCTCGATCAAATTCAGTCATTGTCCTCCTCATCGGGGTTAACTCTAAACTCCAGTTAATGTGTTGAATGTTTATATAGTTTTGCTCGCTCTTCATATCCGACAGACCACACAGCGATTAATAAAAATCCGTTATCTAGAGTGAACTCTGTCGAATATCTTGGTGTAACCATAGATAGCACTCTTCATTGGTCAACCCACATCCACAACTGCATTGATCAACTGCGATGTCTATCTTTTCAAATTCGAAAGCTCACGCAGTTTCGCGCATCCCAGTCAGTTATTTCTACCTTTGTTTATCAGTGTGGGCTCCCCGTCTTACTTTACTGTTCCCCGGTTACTTTTCCTGGCTTACTCAAACAGGATTTTAAAGTCTTTCGCCGCGGTCTAACTATTATTATCCGCGTCTGTTTTCTAAGCCTGCGAGTGAGTTAGCCGTAAAGCTTTCAGAGTATCACATAACTTCCTGTGGGAAATTTCCGGATAGGATTTTCGCAGATCCTGACCATTCATTACATGCAGAACGTAGTGGTTCCCATCATTCCATACGTTCCCAAGTCCGCCAAATTTCATCTCGAATTAACGCTTACCGAAATTTACCTATACTGGATCTTTCTCGCTTACACACAAACAAAGAGACAGCAATCAGTGAACTTTGTCTTAACCTTGGATTATGAAATGTCCGCATGTCTGTAAAACTTTTCTCCCCGTTAACTATGTACTTGGCGTTTATGATTTTTAACTTAAATGTGAGCTCCAGTGCTTTCAGAAGTTATGCACAATACACATTAATCCTTAAAAGAATGTGGTTTACTGGCTGCCGGAATCTAGTGTGGGCTTCAATCTTGCATTCATACAACTCACACTGTATGGGCGCTGTTCGGACAAGCGAATCGCTAGCCCGACTCGGCATGTCACGTGATAAGTGCAGGCGTCCTGTGCCCACGAATGTCAGTGATTTTCTTTGTGTCGATCATCGCTGGGCCACACGAGTCAGTTAACGATACAATTATCATTGATATATTCCAGGACGACAATGAGCTGGCTGTTCAGTGTATCGACGCCATTGATAATGCGGGATTGTCCTCTTTCAACTTACCGTATTTAATACACGTAACCTTTGCTATCGCAGTCACAGAGTTGGTCTCACAATAGTGAATCGGCTGAGCTATAAACAGCTGCAGGTTATGGTAATAATCTAGTTGTTTTAAATAATCAACACACCAGTCAAGAGATGCACGTTTTATCCTAAATTTAATTCATAGAAAGAATGTCAAATGAAGAAAACCACTACCATAAAGTTCATCATCTCGGAGTGAAATCAGCATCATGTCGCATTAGAACTTCACCTGTTTACAGAGAGTAAGCACAATTTAATACGTATGGCCAATATGTTCGAATTTCTCCCCCATGATGGTTTACCAGCCCGCAACGTGACGTTAACTCTCACAATGCTCCACGCAGGACGTACGATCCATCACAGACTCCTTAGGGTTAGTCTACTAAATCGGACGATTCTCGTTCACGCACGCAAGATATTTTATATCCTAGATAAAGTAGAACATGCACCTATGCGAACCGATTCCTTAATCTTTGTTTCTTCCTTTGCACATAAGTTCAGAGTTTATTTCAAAAGTATTTTGTAATGAATGAAAACGGCCACGTTTTCTTCTACTTACCTCTTCTTGTTTCAAATAAATTGTACCTAATCGAAGACGTAGGGTATGCGGGTCTTCGGGTGGCCAAGTTGTCAGGGCTAAGCACCGTTCGTACATTTCACGAGCACCCTCTAAATCCCCGGACAAGTAGCGTAAATGACCCAGTTGTGCCCACGCCTCAGCACACTGCGGATCGAGATCGGTGACCCAATTCACTTCCGATTCGGCAGCTACCAAATCCGTCGATTCACTGCCCAGTATCAGTCGAATACGGGCTAAATGAAACTGGACAAATTGTTGCACAAGCCAATCCGGTCGGCTTGGTAGGGCGAGCAGTGAGGCTGTTGGAGATTCTGTGTGTTCTGTATCCACGGGCATGCTCGGAAGAATTTCCGCGGACGATTTTGGTTGTCCATTTAAGAAGAATGAATTGATTTGTTTCTTCTGCTGAATGAGTTCGTGCGCTAATGCGGTCGATACTAACTGCAAATGGGGAATTCATTTGAGCCAGATAACTAGTCACAGTGATTTAGAGCAATTTGTGCAGAGAGAAAAACATGCTTGGGATTTTGATGATCACATGTTCACGTGCGATGAAAGATCTTGGAAATATACATTTATAAAATGCCGGAATAATTAAAACCAACGAAACATTTACCAGTTCACGTAACAACCAACACACTGTCTCAAGAAGGATTCAGTTTATCTTTTCTATTATTACAAAAAGCAAATCCGCAATGAACTGTACTTTTCTCTTTCATGAACATTGTCTTTCGGGGTGCATTGTTGAAAATAATGAAGAAAATATCGTTAAAACGAACACATTACCTTCCTATGATTGTCATTATTATGAAGAACTAATCAAGATCTGAATTCATTTTTGCAATGAAGTTCACCCTGAAAGACCTAAACAGGGGGTAAATTAAAAGATAAGAAATCATAGCCAAAATATTTCAACTACATCGACAGGGTCGAACCTGTCACTTCATAGGTACAATATAAGCCTATCAGTTTTTAAACCACGTTCGTTATCACAGGCAAACCAATGAATTTACACTGTGAGAAATATTTGATAGAGTAGATGCATTATTATGGAAACAGATGGCTGAAAGTCAACATTTGACCCCGATTCTATCCAACTGTTTTCAATTTCGATTTGCAAGAATTATGAATCCCCTTTCAAATGTGCTTTTTTAAACCTGTCTAGTTCATGTTGTACTGAAGATTCCTCACGTAAACGTAATGTAACATCTGGTCAATGCGAGGAGTGTGCCACCAGTGCCGACATCTAAGCGGAAACTGAGAAGTCATTTGAGGTAGCACAGGTCAGTATCGATCATCGTGACCGACAAAAGACCGATTTAGCGAAATCACAAATCTAAACATTTTCTGGGATAAAACCTAGGACTGGTATACGACAATACGCATTCAGTTTTACCACAGAACGACGTTTAAAGTAAAGACAACAGTAGAAAGTACTGAGATGAGTAGGACGCATCAAAAAAAGCCCACTAAAAAAGATAGACGCTGATTAATGCATTCTGCGTCAAAATGCAGTGAGCTGCAAATCTCAGCGAGGGAATCAAACAAAGAACACCTAAAGCAGTTTTCTGCAAATCCAATACAAGATCAAAAAGTGTATGGTTCAAAGAACGAATGTTACACGTAGGGTATCTTTTGTTTATTTCGTTGATGGACTTTCTTTTCAATGAGAAATGTGTTAAATATCCTTCAAATGTGGATAAAAATTCACATAACATGTTTCGTTTACGTGTACAGCTGAAATAGAAAGGTAATATAATTCCATATTTGTTTTAATCTGTAACCTTGACAATATTGAAAGTAAAGCTAGTGTAGAGTATGTGAAAAAAATAGGATCGTTGCCCTAGGACATCTCAGAGTACCGCAGGTTATGTACATCGGGCTGCTAATCACTCAGATGGCTTTATTCATTCTGTGAACGCAGTCCACAGAAAGCCTTGTGCAATGGACTGTAACAAAGAATGAGAAACAATTAGAGATCCAGGTGAGCCACAAGGCCACACTGATAGCACCAGTCGCTTTAGCCATCCGAATTACAGCGGTATATGGAATCCACCAGGTAGAATGTAAGCTGATAGACTTTCTTTAGAATAAAGCAGGATTCAGTAAATCCTATTAAGGCTACCGAACTTTTCAAAATTTAAATATGAGACCTAAATCTGCTAAACAACGTAGTTTACGGAAATGATTGATATCACTTGGATAACGGTCAGCACCCTACATGGTTTGAATATTTCATCTAATCAACCCCCCCCCCCAAATGAAACATAGATAAACATATCTGTTTGTTTCAGATCGTCAAATATTCCCGGTGAAACATAAGAGTATTGTAGAAATGCAGAGAAATTTATTTGGAAATATCGTTTCAAGCATTTACATATGTAGTTCGATTAGTTAATAGATTAATACAAGGTTTAAGCTGATGATGGATAAGTATCTATGTTCAAAATATTCAGTTGACAGCAAGCTATGGGATCACGAAAATTCGATAGGGAAAAGTGTATCTGTTAGGTGGTAGATGGAAATTTTTCATTGTGAAATTCAAGTGAGTTTTCATGTCTGTTGCCGTGATATCAATTAGATACTTAGATTAGATTACTTATGAGTAGTTGATTCGCCATAGAATTCGGAAACCTCAAAACGGTCTGGGGTGGGTGTATGTGGTTGTCGTTATCACTATTCCCTTGTACCTTGCGAAGTGCTCCAGTACGACCGAGTGTCTCACAAAACCCCCTCTGAAGAATCCCTACTCACAGCCTCCCCGTGGTGGAGATTATTTCTCACCAAAACAAGAAGAAGAAAATATAAAGGGGTCAGTGAACCGCAGTTAACCTAGGAAATTTGGTTAAAAAAACCTGATTCCAAACCAACAAAAAGAGCCGTCAGAGCGAGTCTTGCCCACATCTTGATTGTTGCGGTAGGTATATTAGGCACCTTGGATATCTGACCCCGTCCAAAGGGCGTATGATCTGAAGAGGTGGACACCGGTTCTCAATGGATTGCGGTTTTCGCACACCGTCCAGCTGACTTGTGCAGCAGGTTTCGGTTATTCAAAGAATCTGGTTGTAAATTGCCTATTACCTACCAACTTTGGCCTGGACAACCCAGTAACAATCTACTCACGAGAAAATCACGGAGCTTCACCTTTTAACAATAATTACTAGCCATCATTTGTTTGGGACAGCCTGGACTCGGACGTGTGTGAAATATGCATATAATAATACGCCGTTGTTGAAATGCTTCAGGCAATCCAGACCGCCTTAGATGGTCCCTGACTGAACATCACATATTGTGGACTGAATCAGATGGAACAACTGGTGGAACTTGGCATACTTTGGCAACGCAGACCAGTTTGATGTCTAGAACTTCTATTGATATGAGCTTCATAAAAAAATGACAGCATTGTGGCACGCATATTATTACCAAAATGTGTGATGATTTGAATTTTTGAATAAAATCCAACGTAAATGCACGAGCACGGACCCTGGCTATCACATCAGGTAAGATTTGGTGTTTTATGCCTACCCGCGAGAACCAGAACTAGATTGACACCGTTTCCCGGCTCGACTGTGAAGTCGCATTATGACACAGAACTCCGCTGCCTTTCAGAAAGAAGCAACCACATAGCTTTGAAATCTTTCAACGCTGAGTTCATTCATTGTTAGTTATGACCGCAGATTTCATGCTGCTAACTAGACAAAACACTTACATTGTAGCAATTGTTATCCAAAAGAAATTCCGCCACGCGGAGGAACAGACTGGAGCGTGATGGTTGAGGTGGCGAAATTCCTTGTGAGCTCTCCCGCGAACCAAATACGATTGTATTTTTCGCTGACGGTTTCATGCCTACATAAAGACAGGATTCTTTAAGGTCATTTGACTCAATAAACTGCTCCAAAAATAAAATATGCAAATAACAGTAATGAGAAACATTTTTGCGGTATTGACCGAACTTGCTTACCTCGTGACGATCGTCCAGGATAACCTTGTCTTCGAGTACGTTGACTGGAACTTCGGCTTCCAAAGCTGTCTGGTTTTCCTGGTTTGGTGGCATCGTTCAAAACTCCCTGTTGTTCAACATTAAAACCATCCATTCCGATCAGATCTTTCTGTTCAAGATGTGAATCTTCTTTCGGAAGATTGAGTTCTTGCAAGGAATCGGCTAAATTGTGATGCTCTATGACGGAGAGGAAACGCGAACATAAAGTAAAATTACTCTTTTGCAACCATTTTCTATGGATGAGCATGTTCTATCAATGGTCTTTTTCGTCAAAATTGTAGTTCATCTTCACCATAAATTGCTCATAACAGGTAATGATGAGTATTGTAAGTTGCTTGAATTTATCAATTCATGATTCATTTGGATCAACTCAAAGATATAAACAGTCTCCCATATTGGAAGATCAGGATGTAATAGTGAACCTAAACTTCCGGATGCAGTATTTTCCTAATTTTATAAGTGGACAACTTCGTGAGATTCCATGTTGCAAAAAACAATACAGAAAACATTGGCGATCCAGACCGAATAATGTTGTATTCTTTGATAGTTCCTAGTGTAATTCAGCAGGTGGTGGCAACAGTATCAAATCTCGCATTGGTTGAGCATAAAAACTGAAATAATCGAATTAATCTTTGATTGTGGTACATGCCAAATAGAATTCATATGTTGTCATTGCTATTGGGAATTCCGCATATGTAACAGTTCACCGACAACAATCAAACTAAAATCTTGTCTGGGGCATTTTAGCTGGGCTGTTAACTGAGATTCTTTCGCTGTTCCAGTATTCTAGGTTCCGCGAAAACTGAAAATGAACCATTCGTGTTTAATGGCATTGCAAAACTTGTTCAGGGGAAATATCACTGCTTCGTGAATCTCTTAGAAATTCCTCAAGCAGTTTCAGTTTTTACAATCATTGGACGTGCACTTTTGTGAGCCGCTTTTGGTCGCTGTCTCACGGCTTCCCATTTGGATGAAATATTGAAGAAGAGGTTGAACCAGTATCAGAGTGAAAATAGAGAATTTATGAAGACAAAGGTTGCAGGGATAATGAGTACATGCACGGGCGCCACTGTTCACAACATTCAAACATATCTCCAACCATGGATTACAACAACTGTGGAATACAAATCCAGTTCTTATGTTGTTATACCTTGATCTTCAATTTTCCGCTTTATTTTAAACTCTTCCGATGGCATGTATCAACTTTCATGTTTACTTGACTTGCTCAAAGTACTGAGATAACTTGTATCCATGAAACGATGGAAACTAAACTTTTCAAAGCTTGTGGTTTGTAGGTGAAATGCGCAAGATGACTGCTGATTAGGTCTTCGAGTTACGTGCGTATCTTTTAATTTATTCTGTTTTTCAGATTTGTATTTTACCCTAGAAACCTGTGGTTCAACATCACTCCGCCTGGGAAAGTGTACTTCACATGCTTCAAAACAACATAATCAGCCTTGCAATACCCTTCTCCTTCTCCATATCTGTATTTTGCCCCCGTTCAACCTCTTAAATTTGACACCATAGTTTGACTGTACGGAAATATAGGATCATAGCTTACTTGTGGTTAGATTATCTACAAGTAGGCCCTGAGAGGTGGTCAGTTCCGATTCCGTTTCTGCATTCTTTGTTATCTCAGCGGAACCCGTTGACGAGTCCAATCGAACAGCCTCGTTCAAAGCCATTTCTGATCCAATATCGTTTGCAATCGTTTCGTAGTACAATCCTTGAGGATAAAAAAACCGTGGGAAGATCGCGTTTTCAAGTGACGTGCATAATCGTTGTATTTATGCCAGTACATACAAATCTAAATAGGCGTTTTTCGTATATCTTGTCATAAATCACTTCTGAATAATGACCTGTATTCGAAGAGAAAATTGAGATTTCCGATAGATAGAGGTTGAAAAGATATGGATTAGATTTAAAAGCGCCACTGGTTTCAACACCCAACCATATCACTCAAAGTCTGCGGCTAATGATAAACCAGGCAATCAACCAATAGATAGCTCTAATCGAGCAGATAGGTCACGTGCACTTGGACCACAGGGCGTGAAGACAACAAAAAGTTATATTATGGGAATACAGATCTTTCATTGCAGAACCGCAGAGCAAAAGAAGGTAATGAGATCAGATGCTTGTTTAAACTTTCAAGACATTTTTTGTACATTACCGATTTCACTTACTTTTTTCTACGCCAAGTGGAATCTATTTTTTATTTTATAACTGGATATGATTTTTGCCTGATGGCTAAGATCCGCCCCTAACGAAAATTGATCTTGTCCATTTAATTTAACTTCTATTATTTAGGTAAACAAACTCATGATGAGTAATAATACCACTCAATAGCTCCACAAGACAGTGCCGGACGAGGAGAGTTCCTGATCATGGACAACGATCGGAGAGTATTAATAAACTGACTGACAGAACGAAACGTCTCATCTGCAACAGGTCAATCATAATTCCAACAAGCAAGCAGAATAATTGACGGAACAGTGCCACGGTGGACGAGCATTTCCTATAGCTACAATTTCGAATGCACTATTCGCTCTAGGAAGTCTTGTTCATTTTTAACCGATGTGAGAAACCGATGATCACATTCTTCGGTGCAATCAAACATACTACTCACAAATGGGAGTATTACTTCAAAACACGTAAATATTGCACGTGCCGATGCCGGCCGCAGTTTTATAGAAGTGTAGTATATCGACTACAAGATGAGAAAGAAGAGATAAGGTGTCATTTAAATCGTTTGAAAATTCGGGTGTTTGTCCCCGCTACACTCCCAAGCTCTAAATAGCATCTTTCACCATCGTTGACTAGTTAGTTCAATACAGTCACCAATACTTACTTCGATTGTTTCACAACGATTGGTATATGACGAATGCAAATGCTGTAATTTTTTCACAAACCAGTCCACGTTTGGTGTGTAACGTACTCACCCAGAACTGTCCAAGCAATCACATTCTGTTTGTCCACAAAAACGGCAGCTTCGAGGAAATCCGTGGCCTCTTCCACTCTGTTCTCCAGACCCGCCACCAACCCATAGAGTATGAGTCTAAACATATTGGAAATGAGGTTATTTCTTGGGCAGTTATACTGAAACTCGACGAAACCTGTAATTATTCTTGATGTGAATTAATCAGAACATACACAGTTATCACACTATAACAACAAGAAAAACCTTTTATGACTACTTCAAGCTTGTCGTGGTTATTATCCATTCTAGCAATATTTTTAGAGCAGCGAGGGATTTGATTCAATTATCTGGTAGATTCCGTCCCGTACAGAACGTTCCACCTGAGTTTCGATCCTCGACAGTGTTGATGGATTCGCGCGCTGTTTATGAAAAACCCAACCAGGTTTAAAAAGCTGTTTACTGCTTCGTGGATTTCCGATTCACTCTTCGTTTGCTCTAGCCAAGACTAAGTCCGGTAGGGATGCTCTTCTATGGTAGATTGAGACCATTGAATTGAAGCATATTTCATGCTATCAACAACCTTAAGTCTAATTTCACAAAATGATACATCATGTCAGACATGTAGTTTACATATGGGTAAATAAATGGGATTCGCTTCGGTGTTGGTCATGATGTGGTCCATGTCACTACCCCTCGGACGAGCACTTAAGTGCGACACAACTTTTCTATCCCTAAATAGCCTGATTTAGCTCATTCACATCTAACGGGGTCCATCACTTGAAGCCTTTAGGCCAGAGTTGATGATTTACATAAGGCAATAAAATATTCTCCTGATACTCTGTCGTAATCTATCGACCAAATAATATGCTACACTATCAAATAATTTTCACAAGCTCGCCATGCTGTGCATCGTGGAGAAAACCAGTGTGACTGACCCCGTTGGATGCTTCGGTTCCAATTCCAACACTTGATGGAAGCACACTTCCGCTTGTTCCAAGTCCCGGTTTCGTAGATGAAATTGGCCAAATCTGAGCCAATGGCCCGAACAACCTGGTTCTCGAGCAATGGCTTCCTGAAATAAAATGGAAAAACATCAATGTTACTTTGCAAAATCGGAATAAGACCAAGTCCTTCGGATGTTGAATAACAACGACATCCGGTAAACAGTTGGGAGGCAGTAAATGTGGGAAAAATATACACTGCGACTGCAGCGACACTGGAACAGAACAGTCTGGCTGCAATCCGAGATGAACACTGGCACTTACCTTGACCTGAATCTCGGCTGAACACGGATGACGTAATCAACGGTAATCAACGAAAGAATTACCGATTAAATAAGAAGACAAATATATTCTGATTTGACATTGATATGAAAATTTTGAGCAGACAAGGTTGAAAAAAAACAGCACCATCAAAGTTGGTGCAAATTTGACTTAAATAGATAGCTAGATATTTCTTAGGTGGCGTACCCAGGTTTACTTTCTGTTTCTACCATTATCCTGAAGATAATATTTTGTTCCTCGACTCTTTTTTTCTATGAGCTAAACCCGGACACCACTGCATCGAACTGATACATTCAAAAACTTAATTTAATCGAACAAGTTCCGATATAATCAGCGCACAGATTGTCTTTAATTACCCGAGGTCATGTGAATTAATTATTATTAATTGTTTCGCCATAAACACATCGACCAAAAGGGGACCTAAGGGAGATTCCATTGCAGTCCCATCCTTCTGGAGGTACGTAATCCCAGGGAACTGGCTCATTTGGTCGAAAGTGAACATCGTGTCAGAATGAGTCAGGCCCATCTACACGATCACCGGGGTGAGATCAAAGCAGGTCAAGCATCGCTTAGTAGCAACAGCCGAAGGGATCGCGATTCGGCTGAATAACCCCTCCTTATGCGTTCAAAAACAGTCAATCAGAGCTCTAAATTTATCATGGTCAGTCATAAACGCTTGAGTGACATAAAGCCGGTTACCAAATGAGTGTCAAATCCTTTATGTATTTGATTCATTCGACAGTACAAATGACATTTACGGAATGATTTGAACTCTCATACACCCCTTACTGTATTATCTACAGTATCCATACACACGTATACAAGCATAAACATTATTTGCATTGTACTGTTTCCTTGAATTATGTGATTTTATGACGTATAAAAGAGTGCCCTATTTGGTTCGTAAATGAGGCACCGAAAAACGAGCTTGTTCGCCAAGTTGACTCCTTGATGCAGTCCACGGGTATTTTCCAGTGTTTCTTTATTTTGTCTATTTGTTCCAAGTTCAGTCTAATATCAAAAAAGGCTATTATTCCCATGTAATTATACGATTCTTATATACTGTGTGTATATTATCATGTACGGTATATGTTGATGTTATTATAATTACTTATTAGTTATTATGCATGTAATCATAAAGTTACTGCAAATCATCCTCTTAGGTGTACTGCTCGATAAATCGGAAACAGTGCTGGTTTAAACGAAACCGAATTCCTGCGAAATCACACTCCTGTCAGAGTAAGTACAAGTACACAAACACTTCATCCACCTGGTCCACCTTAACAAAATAAACATAATAGCATTATTACTTACACGATAGTATAGTTTGGCCAACTCATAATCTCCCATTATGTGAGTCTCTTGAGCAAATCGATGAAGTTGTTCAATTGTTAGTTGTACTCCATCCGGTTGAATAAACTTTTCATGCGGTTTTAAAACTTGACGCAGTCCAACATGCATTTCATCGATCAGGAATACGTACAAATCCCGTAAAAATACCTGGAAAAAATGTGAAATAAAGAGCTGAGTTGTTAAGTTGCGGGTATTTTTACACACATTATTACAGATATCTAATTTTGAAACGTCATACATTTACTCAAGTCAAAACATAAACCTGGTATGGAACCTTGAGGAAACACCAATCAGCATCGTCACTGCTCATGTTCGGTAGTCTATCCCAATCCTGGGATTTTAAATCTAACAAGAATCTTCAAAATTAAACAATCAATTTTTTCAGTTCAATTTCTATATGCCCACGAAACCTATCCCAGATTTCCAGAGATCATAAACCTGAAACCAATCAAATGAGAGCAAACAGGATGGCCCTGACACAAGCCCAGCACTCACTTGTAAGTCTTCTTGTGTGTCAAACGGTTTCGTCCGGAAGAATTTCTCCCTCACAACTTTCACCACGGCAAATTTCAAGCGTTCTTTGAATGCAAAATACTTTCCAGTCGAATTCAACGAATAAAACAGTTCATGTTTCCTAAAATTGCAAACATCAGTTCCGAATCGGAAACAATGCACACATACATTTGCTCGGTTGATTCGGCGTCCACTGGTAATTGGTCCATTTGTATCATCTCGGAAAATTTTGTCCTTTGAGTTGTATCGATTCATTGGTATAAGTATGGATATTCATAGAATTAAAAAATACGACAAATGGTTAACAAAGTTATGCATACGAAGTGGCGTTGCACACTTACACTAGAAAGAATGCGCAACAATCAGATTTTATTTTGAGTATCAAGTACTGGATTAGCCCATTCGATTGTTTAAAGTCACCAGGTGCTCTTGTTCGTTTTGGGTGTGGATTTCACTCCTTGGTAGATCGTTAATTCCCCATACCCAAGACGATCAAGATTGCCTGGGGCCTGTGAAAAATCAAATGGGCTAATCCAAATCTTGGTATTCTAAATTAATTCAGCCATTCGCACAAGGTTTTAACCGCCGTCCGTGTAGCTCAGGGTTAAGGGTTTGAAGTCCCGACCCGAATGTTCGCGGTTTGAGTCCTGACAGGGACCCAAAAAGTACGAACTGCTGCCGAGTCCTAAACAGGACGAAACGGCTGACCAGTGCTCTTTGGTGATCATCACAAACATTTTCTTCGCAATTAAATCAGATATCATTCTTCATAGTTATTGCACACTTTTTGAAAACAGAAACCGAAATGATGCAGACAATGTTTAGGAACCTGAAAACAAATCGAGGGAGGAACTAATGTAACAAATGCATAGGTGTAAATGAATTGACTGATATTGTCCATATGACTGCTGTATTTTGTAATAACAGAACGAATTGTATGGTTTTAAAATAACAAATACTTTAAAATCCACGTGGGTTGTGCACTGATTCTTTCTTGGGTCAAATTGAAATTAAACCCTTGCAACATAAAATCAGTCTATCGATCGCCTCTTGCCACAAATTTGCTCATGCTCTTGTTCCGTTGTCCGTCAAATGTCACCTTTCCTACTGGCACGATTTCAACAGTTGTTCGTTCGCCTTCGACTGGTTATCTTACAGATTTGTGGAATCACACTACACGATTTAATGGGGATGAACGAGAGCCTGGATGGGCTGAAAGTGTAAGCTGTTGGTTTCCATATCTTTCAGAACACAGTCCGCAGTTAACCTCTTCGGTAGCATGTAAAAACCTGAAACAAAAAATCAAAATTTCCTGCTATGTCTAGTATGTTAGCGTAACGCCCTAATCATTTACCTCAATCATGATATCGGATATGGGCTATTAGGTGTTTGAAAGCGAAGGGCTTCGGATAAATCCGGATTCTCTTCCATCCAGAATGGAAGAAAAACTGCATTGGATCGGTTCTACACCTTTTCCCATCAAGCTTGGGCCAAAACCCGCAATCCTCTAACCGCAATCCGTAATCCATTAGCCAAAACCCTCAATGCCCTAGCCTTGGCCCACATTCTTTTTGCCAAAATCCGCAACGCTTTAGCAACGGCCCGTGGTCCTTTAGCCTTCACGCACAATCTCTAGTCATGCCGTTTTATGCGATGCAGATCGAAAAGTATCGGAGTATTTTCAAGTCATCGGATGTTGAAACGTTTTCTTTTCTGCAAATGTTCATGTTAAGAAATGAGAAGGCATGGCGATCGTATGCTGTACAGTTAATCACTTTTAAGAAACAGTAACGGTGAGGGGATCAGTTTGAGAAACTGCGACGAACAATCAATCGGCTGTAAGCACACCCATTGTCAAGTATATCAATACGACGGCTGAACAAAACGTTTCTGGATAAGCAGTACACGAACGAGATGCAGGTAACCAGGTAAGAAAAACGTCAGCTGTAATCTATTGTGAACATTGTTTACTAATGGTAACTCACAAAACCAAATATCAACAGTCCAGCTCAGCTCGCAAGTCATAAGGGTCACTGAACTCTCACTTTAAGAATAGAGTTCAGTCGATGCCACTGGAAGGCGATGGTTTTCCACCACTACGAATGTGGTTTAAAAGCATTATCAAAGTTTTGGTCGTTTGAGAGCTGCCTTTGCTGATGGCGCGCTTTGAAGAAGCACTATGTTTGAGTAAAATATACCGCGTGCTTAAGTGCATAATATGCGCGTGCCTACAAGTGCGATAGACATTGTGTGCCGCGTTAGTTTCAAGCACACTGAAATCGGGATGTAAAAGTCTAACAGTTTCAGTTAGTTCAGTTAGTTAGAAAGTAAGCTCCCGCGATTTATCCCTACTTGATCACAATGTCGATATAACTGACAATCGCTAATGGTTCATTCAAAATCAAACGGATACGATCTACCAATTTAAAAATACACATGTTTCCAAAAAACATAAACAACTCAAAGTAGATTGTAATCCACATAACATGCTTCAGGATACAACAAAGGGAAAACGATTAACGCTATGACGTGCATAATCTGGAGACCCCTGTGGCAACTTTATTCGAATGGTTCTCGAAAACGCATCGTAAATCTACACACAATCGGGTTGTGAAATGCATTTCTTCATCGCATGCATGCACATAAGACCAAATGCTCCACGTGAAACGGTCAAGTTCTTTGGACATGTACGAAATTTCCCCAGGGACTCACCTGAATTCCGCCAGTATATAACGTGCAACTTCCGCTATCTGATTGTGGTACTCACTTACTGCCTGTGGGAATAAATAATAGAATTGGGTGTGAGGCAAGCAGTTGATATTTATATGGTGAATTCATGGTTTAAAATTGAGGCGTGAACTGAAGAGCTATGAAGCATTAGATAGCTGTTTCGGTCTGGTCGGGCCTCATCAGCGGTGCGAATCCATCTACCCAACCGCAGATTGAATCCCGGGAACTCACAGGTAAAACGCAAGCATCCTAACTACCTGACCATTGAGCAGCTGATCAGATCACTTTACTTCTTCCAGCTTAAGGTGGACATCAACTTCTGGCGAATCTCAGCAATGTTCTTAACTCTACTCATCTTTCCATTTTCATTCATGTGAATATTGATTATATTCTTTTAATCGCTACCATATTGTATGAACTCTGGAAGTAAATCTTCTTGATGGAATAAACAATCAGACAATTTTCAGGAGTTGAGTTATTCTTACTGAAAGACTATCAGAAAATGGATCGGGTAGGCAATGATCAGGGGATTCGAATACACGACTACCGGATAAAGATGTTGATCACTTAGCCAGCATTAAATAAGAGGACAAATGTGTTAAACAGACGTGGAAACCATATGGTTCTTATTGCCAGTACACGATACGGAATGCAAGAGAGGTGAGTATCACGTTCGCGCAGAACTCTCACGCAGACAGCAACATTTTCGTGGTTTGCTTTGGACGCGGGAGCAGCATTGGGAAACGGTTCTAACTGGGAACATTGAACACTGCGCTGCTCAGAGCATTCTGTGTTCCAAACGCACATCCCTTTAGATCAATAGATACCTTTTCCGGTCCCGCCCCCTTCATCGTTCCAAGAAAAGTAGGTGTGGTTTTGCTCTGTTTTCCAAATCCAAGCTTTCTGCGGTCATTATTTGACAAGCACTGGCGTGTGAAACGAACAGACCAGTATGGGATAACATTTTCCCAAAGAAAAAATGGAGGAAAAACAATTTTAAAAATTTGTCCGTGTTTTGTTTCATTAGTTGGAAATAATTACAGTCGCATCCCAATTTCATTCAGTGAATAAGCACATATAAGCATTAACCAACAGTCTTTGTGATGAACAGACTATAGTGCGCTTTTGTTTTCTCGGCCGTTATTTTAATACTTTTGTTCGTCCGAAACCATATTTTGTGTACCAGTTTATGTGTTGACCCTCTTTTAAGACCGAATTCCGATTGAAATGTGAATTCACTGCGTTGTTTGGGCTCCGTAACCCAACACGGGAAATCAGAACACACAAGACAGCGCGATAATCAGAACCGGATGAACTAGTTAATGGACGTTCGTGCGAAACGCCGGTCTAAAACTAGGTCAGACTGGCTCACCGGTGGAACATCCCAGAAGGACTTTATTCAATGCGCATCATGAAAAGGTGATTGGACGCTCAATAGAATCGGATACACGCACGCGTATAGATAGAGAGCCACCTTCCAATATCACGACAGTTTCGTTACACATGTTGTAGAATTATGAGACAAACTCTCAATATCATTTTAGGATTGATTTCAGAAACAATCAATTTGACTTGCGTCACTCTGAATTGAGAAACTGTCTTTTTGAATTGAGAATGTACCACTGTGGTTGAATCCGCACTCCATTCAGCGCACCTCATTGGTTTATTGATTGCAGATTTTTCTACCCCGAGATTGATAACTTGTCTTCCCACGCTCTTTCTGTGTCGAAATGAGGCAAACCTTAGTCTTACATTTTTTCGAGCTCGGTGACGGATATCGATCCAGTGGATCAATGAAGCCGAGTGATTTGCGCCAGACATCCGAATCTATAAGCACGAAGGATGATGAATTGTTTCGTGCGCGCTACAACTAAAGCACAACTGATCGTAGTGGTTCGGACATTGACGATAGTTTAATTACCAAAGGTCACCACAATGTCTAAGACCAGGGACGAGTTTTGTGCCTACGGTTGCTTTCGCAACTGACTGTTACGAGAACTGCATTCACCACTTCTGTTGACTGGCTACACTTTCAGAATCTCCTTGAAAGATACCGGGATAATTATCGTTCAGATCCCTCTTGACTTTGCTCTCAAGCTCCACATATGCTCAGTAGAATTGAGCGTTTGCGAGTCTGGTGGTATCCTCAGTAGCTTTGCCTCTCAATATTCATTCTAAGCGGTCTCATAACTCACAGTATTGTGTTTTGCAACCACGTGCCAAAATCTCCCCCTTCGCAAGTCAGACAGATTCGCTGGTGCACTAGGTTTTCAGCACACTTGTGCCGGACACGTAGCATGATGAAAGACAATAAGTGGGAGTGGGAGAACGATATTTGTTTTATATTACGCTCTACCACTTTGCTGTTTACTGTTCAGACCAAAGCGATCGTCGTTGCAAGCACATCGATGAATGCTAAATTAGCAAACCAGTGCAGTAAGGCATGCATGGTTCAGTGATTCTACTCCCTCCATCCCTTCGCTGTACAATTCACTTTGTGCCCCGATTCACCTGTTACTTGTAGCTGGGGTGGTAGTGATCGTTGTATGCTTCGGCGATTGGGCTATCGACCCAGCAACTACGTTGATAGCGCATGTCCCACGTAAATGCATCGCTCGGAGTAAACCGTAAGCACAAAACTCGTCCCTGGTCTTAGACATTGTGGTGACCTTTGGTAATTAAACTATCGTCAATGTCCGAACCACTACGATCAGTTGTGCTTTAGTTGTAGCGCGCACGAAACAATTCATCATCCTTCGTGCTTATAGATTCGGATGTCTGGCGCAAATCACACGGCTTCATTGATCCACTGGATCGATATCCGTCACCGAGCTCGAAAAAATGTAAGACTAAAGTTTGCCTCATTTCGACACAGAAAGAGCGTGGGAAGACAAGTTATCAATCTCGGGGTAGAAAAATCTGCAATCAATAAACCAATGAGGTGCGCTGAATGGAGTGCGGATTCAACCACAGTGGTACATTCTCAATTCAAAAAGACAGTTTCTCAATTCAGAGTGATAGTTTCTCAATTTAAGGTGTCGGCTTTTCTATAAGCAATCCTAAAATGATTGTCCTCTTTCCACGGGAAGTTTTACTCGTTGAAAATGCGGCTATCTTGCATTTTTATTTGCATGTTCCCTTCTTCAGATTGTCTTACCGCTTTTAGACCGGACATGCTGTAAAAATGATAGAAAACAATAAACAACAATAGTTGGTTACTGTCAGCAGTAAAAGCAACTTGTGTGGTATAAAACGCCAATCTGATCCTTGATAAGTAGCCTCCCAAGACTGAATTGAACCTACGCATGAACACCGCCCAGATTTTTCTGGTCTACTAACTACAGGGCCACATCAAAAGCAAGTGATGCGTTGCGATCAATACCGATATTTAAATTTTGTGACTAATTCATTCGGCCACTCCTGGTTGGAACTAGACCCAAGTGGAGGGTGATTCGGGAGTTTTGTGAAAGTTTATTCCAATGAAAATGCGCCAAATTCAGAGTGTGTGGATGAAGGAGAACGATAATATGATAAGTCAGTGTTTAGAACGGATGTGCTGTCGTGCCTTGTGAGCCAATGGTAACTATTCATTATCAACTCCCGTAAGCCGGACGTCTATGGCGAGGGTTAGCAAATGACTAACAGTTCCATAAGCATTAAGTAGAGTTTGAAGTTTCTGTTCGAGGAGAGGAGGCTGAAAATATTGCAGGATAAAAATCAAAAATTCCCGGAAAAAATGTATTGAAAGACGAACTATAGATAACTGTCTGTGGAGTTGGGTAACACCTGGTTAGTTGGAAGAACAAGACGTCACAGATTTTTCAACACGCTGTTAAACGTGAGATGACCATTTTACAGTAGTATCTAAGATAACCTTCCGATAATTAATAAAAAGGCACAGGATAGCGAATTACAAACATAGATAAATATATATAATACCGGCTTGTAGACAAGCATGGTGCCACAGGATCACTTTAAAATTATATTCAAGACATTTCGATGGGTTCAATCTTTCATCAAATTGGTACTATGTATGAGGAGAACACTGCTCTATCATTTGTGTAAGTGGAAACTTAAACATTCCCATAGTGTCGAGACAATTAACCCGCGGCTTAGGTCGCAGGGGTTTGTATTCTATTTCAGTAGGAGTTTATCTCCCACAGATGTCAATTGTGAAGCACTACATTAAATTCAAATAGAGACATGAACGAAGTCGTCTAAGGAACGGATTTCGCCGCTGGTACGGGTTCGGAATTAGACAAGGAAAAATAAAACTTACTTTTTGGGCGCTCAGCATACGACTTGGGACGGGTTTGCGTTGATTCAAATAGTTCTGAATTTTCTCCTCCACTTCCTCTGCTGTCCTCTTTGGTACAAGTGGACGAGCAAGACGAAATTCGATTACAATGAAAGATTGGGCCTCCACGTACTGTCCCTCAGAGTTCAGTCGTGAACTGTTCTGCTCAGTGGTCACACTGCTCGGCTGTTGTGGTCCAACCGGGTCCGTATCCCCATCAACTGCCTCGTGTTCTTCAGGGATAGGTTTACCGGGTTGCTGAATATTATATTTGATGTGGGAAACGGCACATCGTTTTTGTTAGACGCATAAAGGATTGCACAAATGTAGTTCGACATCTTCCGTGTATTGGATTTCCAAGCATGCTTGTTCATTGTTTTGCACATAGAAGTACATTGAATTTCCGTGAAATGGAGCTTGGTTTATTCGCTCAATTAATTTTCGAATTTCTTGGTTGTTTTATTATTTTAGCAAATTTTGGGGTAAAATTGTAGGGTAAACCCACTGTAACATTCGAACCCGATCACGTAGAATTGTTTACAGTGGTTTGTACTCCTGTTGGAACAGATCATATATGGACCAGCAGTGATAAGGGTTACGTTTTCCTGCTCACTAAATTGGTCGTTCGGAACAAGGCAAAGCTGCGATGGGTGGGCTATGCATGATACATAGTCAAGCGTTTGTCTTTGTCTTGCTTAGGTAAAGTCAGATATGCTTGGAGTGCTGATGATGCCATTGGTGATGTTAGTGATCACTTTCAGGCTGAGGCACATCGCGAGTTCGGCCCATTCACTTTTGTGCAGTCAGTTCAGTTTCGAAAAGCTGATTGTCTATCCCTTGTATTTTGTATTTTGTACAACCGTACTGCTCGAGAGGGTTTGGAGAGTAGGTGTTATAAAACCTACATCACTGATAACAAACCCTTGTATGATTTATACACGCAGGATTACGAAGCTTTGAAAACAACTTTTCAGATTCAAATTTGTGTTCCGTTCTTTTTGTTTCAATTTTCAGGCCCAGGTATATACCACATTTTCTAAATTTCCTGTCTGATATCTGATAACACTTGACATTTGTCCGTAAATGTTAGCACATTTAGCAAAAGTAAAAAAAGATCTTGAGGGATTCATCACAGTAATAAATGGTTCCCGATAAGCACTCTCGATTGCTGGCTATAAGTTTCTAACCCAACTACCCTTCACTCAACTTTGGTGATGGGGACCTTCGTTACTGTCTAGCTCAATATCACGTATAAACTAACGGGTCCTTTTGTGATCCTCCACTGCAAGTCCCGGGGGCGTATATTGCCGGTTTCCACGAATGAACAGTCGGTCTTTTGGTCTACTTTGGGTTTACTCCGTCTGAGTAATAAAAGATGCTTGCCCTCCTTAAATTTTACCTAGGTTATGGGAACATACACCCGGGATGTACTCACCTTTCGTTCTTGCTTCGCGGTCGTAATGGTCGAATTTTTCTTCGGATTCAATTGTGATCCAGCAGGTATTGTTGAGCTGACATTCAGCGATTCCATGAGCAAACTATTGGGACGTTTCACCTTGGAAAGAGGCAGATGTTCAACACAAAATAAAACTGACATTTAGTATTTGTCACATTACTTGGGCAACACATTTTACACCTGTCACATTCCCGGGGACGATTCAAGTATTCACCTTGTGATTATTCCTCATGTTAATCGTTTTTTTTGTGATTTCACGCTTGCTAACAAACTGGACATATGTGCCGATTTTGGGATGTGAAGATATCAGAATGATCAGACAAATTAGTCTGAAATGTCCATGGGTGATGACCGGAAAAACACTCCGGAAAACCTGGTTGTGCTTTCAGGTAATGTTTGTTTGATTCTTTAGCTGTTACAAACACTGTAGGACTATGTGTGCATGAAAGCTATTTTCTTTTACCTTTCTGCTGAAACTCGAAACATGTACGAGCGACTTGGTTGGTGTGATTTCGATGTATATATATATATATATATATATATATATATCCTACAGACCTCAACCGGTAATTATTCATTCTACGTATCTCTAGACTGTACCGGGGTTCTAACATAGATCGTAAGGTTAGCACGTTATCAACTGCAATCACTTGAGGTTGCATTAGCAACTCGTTAAAATACTACGGGAAGTGATGGTGAGAGGAACTATACGTGAAGTTCGTCAGAGGATAGTGATTGATTCCTAAATATTTACATTTTTACCAAAGACCTTTAAGTTCACTAATCGTTTCAAGCTGCCAATCAATTTTTTGTCAATCAAGAAGGACAGTCGTGAAAGAATAGTCGGTAGGAATCGTCAGACATATCACGATGTAAAAGGGAAGGTCTGTAATTGTGAATGTTACGACAGAGAGATTAAAATTGACCGACGAACCATTTACTCTGGGTATGGTCCTTATACATGCAATGCACTTCCTCTTTACAGAATAACGTCCATCTACAAACACCAAAACAAATTACAGATGAAATGAAGTGGTTCAAGAGAGAATTTTCGATTCATCCATATGTTTAAGTGGTATACAAGGAAGATAACCGTTACGAATAGTCCATCAAAATCGATAATAATTGTTATCCCACAATACTACTCGCAAGTAGTTGTGAACCGGAGCATGAAAAATTACTCCAAACGTTTGTGTTTTGTAATTCGTGTGGAATAAAATGCCTTTGTCCATTGTGAATTTAACTCAGGATGGTAAGTGCACTTCTAGTTGTGGTGTTCACCGTTTTCCTTCATTTTTTATGAAAACGAATGATTATATTTCACCTTGGTTTGTTGACCCACCCCATTTTATTGTTTATTATTTTATTTTATTTATTTTATTTTATTGCCTCTAATGACAGATAAACACTTTTTCAAACCTCTCAAGCATAATAACTATTCTAATTTACTGATTGACGGGCTTCATCAGGGTGAAAAAAAAATGCTTTTAACGCCCACACTATTGCCGTACTTAACAAATCTTGCCTGATAAACTGGACTGTGTAAACATCCGGTCGACTTAGTGGTTGGCAAAAGTCAACTACGAGACAGAAGCGGAATATGCTATCGCATTATGTTCGGAAGGGGAGGGGGGAAGGCGAGTCGCCAAAGGAAAAGGATAAGTCGCTCACTTTCTCCACATATTCAGTTTCCACATAGGGAACAACGCGATAAGCACCACGTATTTGGGTTGCTGTGAAAAAAATGAACAGAAACAGACTCAATTGGAGTTGCAAATATGAAGATTATCCGGTTACCAGAGAATCGTCGAGGTTCATCTGTAAACGAGATCCGCAGTATGATTAATCAAGTCATTTCTGAATAAATTAAACCCTTCTGGTTTCGAATTCAGAAAGAAAACGACACGAAGCAGAATAGTTCTAAAGCACAGTATCTTTAAGATCGTATACAATCTTGATAGCTGGAAAGCGCTCACCGTTAGTATCATCGCCAAAACCGATTCTATTTGACTTTTTCGTTCCTGAGCACTCATTCAATCTTGCTCTAGGATCACAGAGCTTGCTATTCCCGAAGGAATAAAGTTGTGTACCAATTTCCCTGAAAGCTCGTTCCAGTTTACTTGGAAATGCAATAGAAGCATCCTGATGGCTCATTCTACAATGAAATCCCCGAATTCGTGTGCAAAGTCTGCCCAAAAACTCTTCCTTGTCTATTATCCCACTCTTGATTCTCGTTCTTGACTGAACATGTTTTATAGCATGAAATCTTTCGGTTTCCCAGGTAGATTTTCTTGCATAGATAGTAAATTCGCTTTCGTCGAGGGAACAACGCAGAAAGTACATCGAAAACAACTCTTCCCTTCCCCTCCGGTGGTAAACAAATCAGATGTATTTCAAGATACCGTTATATAACAGTTTCTTTCTTTTACTTACATTTGTGGTCATCCTGTTGCTTCTATTGTGTGTATCTTTCTTCATTCGGAAGACCTCGCTTTTTGTCAAACCATTGGAATTCAATTTCGCCTATTCGCTAAGTTTAGCCAATTGTTTGCAAACTTTTCATCGCCAGCCGAGGTGATCCCTTCATTGTTTGTGAAATGGCAGCCTGCACCTGCTTGTACCCGTTCGCTCCACCGTTTATTTTGACCTTTGTTCTCATTGTGTACGACCTGATTGAACTGTTACGGGAGTGGGGTGAGAAGGGATGTTCTGTCTGGGTTGCAATTTTCAGTCTGTTTTCGGGTCATGACGTGGGATTTTGTTACGTCATTTGAACCGTGAGTTACATTGACGCGTGCAAGTGATCCATTTTTATGTCTGTTTATTCTTTTATCTTTTCATTTTACTTCCTTTTATTTGTTATATAAAGATACCATTTTCAAGCAGGGAAGAGTGGCGAATCAAAGTGCTATTGTAACCCACAGAAAGAGATAATTCAGGCGGTTGTAGTGGGATTCGAACACACATCCCTCGGGGCGACGGTCGGGTCACCTTTCCCAATCGGCCACCACCACCTTGAGTTGATGAAAGAGTGCCAAGCCTCGAGAAAGTCTCTTTAAATTCAGTTCTATCCCAAGATTCAATATTTCAATTTTTCCAGATTACAAACTTTTCAGAAACCCACAATAAACATCTCAACGTTTCGGAATATTTTAAAGGTTTCATGCTTTGAATTCCCATCGTAGCCTCATCACATTTTGTGCCACTGTGATTCTCAGATAAAATCCAGTTAAATATCTAGGGAGCGGGGCTTTTTAGACCATAACCTTTGCTGGTCCTCTCACACAGAAACTCGTTTAATTAATTTGCGCCCTTCTGTTCTTTCAGCATTGCATACTTAGACACACCTATATGACAGTCTTACGTTTCCCCGTTTGATCCGACGGAGCGTTATTCCTTTATTCTCATATCCCCCCCCCNCCCCCCCCCCCGCACCCTGTTACCTGGTCTGATCTGCGTCAGGAGACATTCACGACTTTACTTCGTGATATTTTGAGAATAAGTCAAACCCCAAATATTCCCCTTAATGAACTAGAGAAAGAATTATGACATTGGTTTTAACCATCCAAAAACGATCCTTCACGCTACTGCATGCCGGAATATCACAATGTCGTTCTAGCACCAATACTAATTCCGAACTCCAATTGCTTCCTTCACGTATTTGTTTCTCTAGTCAACCATTTCACATTCGCTGCTATGTTCAGTTCCTTTATTTGGTCAGTGAAATTATCACAGTTGACTGAAATACCGGCCTTAAAGTGCGCAAAAGTCTGCTGAATACAAATGCAAAAGAACAAAGAGAAACCTGATGGGCAATCGGTTTCATACAGATATGAAGATTTTTTTAAATTGCGATCAGCTTCATGCATATGACAATTTGGGTTTGAGAACAACTTAATATCTCCCAAAATGCGGCTTCAGCAGAACCAAATCAATGATCAAACCACGTTAAATATTTAGATTTTAGAAGCTGATCAATTCAGACTAAGGAGAATTGGCATTAATCACCATTACATCACTTTGTAGGGCGTGTTCAAATTCCACAACCCTATCCTAACTTACCCCTTTTCCCTGTTACAAGGCAGGCAGTTCTATTATTGGACAGTTCATTCTCCCATAATAATGGCATTGGGTAATATTCTTTTACCAAAGGGTAAGTAAAGTGATCAGTGAATCAAAATAGAGTCCTTGGGAATTCATCGGAGGTAGAAAATTTGGCCTGTTCTGGGTCGGGCTTACTGATTGATGATTGGTCCACGTCTTAGTAAGTAATTGTATTTATAACAATTGTTTTTTAGTAATTTATTCTCAAGCCGTTTACAAAATGCATAGGTAATGTTAGAAAATAGATCATACAGTTAGACACATCACCAATCATGGGTAAGAGTTTGTCATAGTCAACTGGCATTTGTCATTTGATTGGACGGCGGACACACTCGGGCTTGATCGATCACGAGCCATGGAAGTTGGAGTGACTAAACTAAAAGCTTTTGGGCCCATAGGTCAGGGGTCAACTTTCGTATCCCGATCGCTTCGGCTATTGCTAGAGTGCGCTGTCCAACACCCTTGCACTTGGTGTGGGAGACACGATAAACAACTTTGAAGGCAACATCCAGATTTACTTGATATCCGGTGTCGAATAAATGGGATGAAGCTGTTTATTAATCCGGTCTGTCCTGGTCTTAACCAGCGTGGGTGATGCTCTAGAGGAACTAGAGGAACGTAGGTCAACCCTAGTAAACACCTGTCATTACTACCGAAAAATTAAACCAAGACCAGTCAGAAAAGAGCACTTAGATGCTGTGAAAGAACTACTGAATAACCAGGAGGTCATACTGAGCGGGCCAGACAAAGGAAGCAGAATAATGGTGATGAACAAATGCGATTAAATTGAAAAGCTCAGTGCGATTCTAAATGACGAATCAAAATTTAACTGTAATCCTAACGAGAAGGACTTAACGCAACAATTCGAGCGCCAAATAACCGCCACTCTGAAAGAACTAAGATATGCTGGCTTTATTGTGANCGAGATCTACACTTCCCAGGCTGTGAGAACTTCCCAAAATTCACAAACTGGGAACTCCGATTCGTCCCATGTTATCGATGGCAAACTCGCCTTGCCACAGTGTTATACACTGGCTATCCGAACTACTGAAGTCAATCAAATAACAAATGGTAATACACAGTCTGAGATATAGGTTTGATTTCATACATTGGATAAAGGATGATAATCTGAAGAACAAAACAATGTTTTACCTAGACTTTGGGTCTTTGTTTACAAACGTACCACTAGTAGAAAAATCGATTTCTTATTGAATTACATTACAACGCACGGTTTATGCGAACTCCTGCTTCGTTCTTCACTCAATGTTAATTTGCAATTCAATGAAACCTGAACAGACAACGAGACTGTGTGACCATGGGATCACCACTGGGTCCACTATTCGATGATGCCTTCCTCGCAAACTTGGAAAGAACTAAGCTAAAGTCGTTAATCGATAGTTTTGATTATTGCTACCCATAT